ATGGGGATCCACATTGATGGGATCCCAACTCTTCTAGGTTGCCTTCACCCACTCCTCAATTAGCATATGAACAAAATTGTTTGGGCCCTAAGCCAATCTGAGGGAGCATCCTTATTGCAAACTCACTTTTGCTCTGTATCTGGTTTTCCCCATGCAAACCAATACTTTTGTTAGTTATCAGAGTCTCTAGTTCATCAATCAAGTATACTTTCAAGTTGGAAATCAATAATAAAAGGAAATAGTTGAGGCACTAGGGAGAATGGAGGACTTGAGGGAAAGAAACGAGAGCGGATCGAGGGTTAAAGACAGCCTCTTAAATTTATATACCAATATGAAGGGAGCATCACACATACTTGTATATCTTTATGATACCATTGCCATTAATGGCACAGTTCACTGGATTCCTTTCCTGACCTAAAGAAAAAATCTCTTGCATTCTCTCAGGACAATTTGAATTCAATATATGGATTAAATCTTCAACCTTTCGGATCAAAAGATTCATGAAATATCATGTGTTAAGTAAATTTCTTTCTAAATAGAATAAATGTAAAACCAAGATAGAGATCCTAATGTTTCAAATAGAGCCCATTTTTCACTTTGTATTTCATGTAATAGATTGATAGTAGAATGGGAAATTTGGATAATAGATGAAACAGAAAACCAGCACGGGATTTGTTGGTTTAAAAGTTTACGAAATTATCAAATCTCAGGCTGATCTTTAGGTTCACAAAATTATATAACCTCAGATGCAAATGAAATGCACGCAAATTACAAAACTAAAATGTGCTGTTCGAACATACTGTCTTTCAATGTTAACATTTAGCCGAGAGAATGGGTTACCTATCTATTTCTTCCTTTAATGCTGGATCAATCTCATCATCAATGTCACCATCATCAAGCTCATTCTTATTTGTAAAATTGTCATCTTCAACATCTTGTAAATTTGAGGTGTCACCAACCAAAGTTTCTTACCAGACTCAGCATTACGGTATCTAGAACTGAGACCATTTGACTCCTAAAAAATGTAGAAAATTTAGTTACTTGAGAGTAAAAAGGAGAAGAAAACAGAGAAATGGAGAGATCCAGACCTTATTATTTTTAGAGTCCTCATTTGAAGAGCTGTTCTTTTGCACCTCTTTTCTTCTTCTGTTTTTCTTCTTACCCTTTGAAGTTTTAATTCCTTTAGAATCTGTGAAACATAATTTCCTTACCTCCAATTAGTCCTTCAAAAGGAAGTAAAGTAGGGCGGGAAAAAGACTAAGAGGGAAAGTTTAGTTGAACGGACCCACCAATAATATTAATTGAGCATCAAAGAGAATCTTCTTTTACAGTTCAAACTGTACTAAACTACAAAATAAGAACCATTGACATTGGAAACTAATTTTTATTTAATAGTTAATATTATATAGTTTGGTAAGTCTAGAATAAACAACACTTTTTTCATATATAAACCTTATATCATTAAAGCATAAAATCAAATTTTTATACCCACTTGTCCCAGAAATATCTTTGATACTCAATTTGAAATCCTACGAAGTACTACAACCAAAATGATGAAGCTATAAATGATGTAAATATGACTTATAGGTGTGGTGTAAATGTACATCATGGATTAATGATAACTTTGGGTAATGTTTTTATAGTTATGAGTAAACTACAGGAAAGAGAAGACAAACATCTCTTATTTATCATTTTTTATCATAATGTTAGCCTTTTTTTTTAAAATGTGAATTATGTATATACATCTTGCTAAATTTCATTTCTTTATTTTTAAGAATTTCAAATTGAGTATTAAAGATGTAATTTTTCACTTTGAATGAGTTAAAAGTGATTTTATTAGATTTTATATGATATTTATTATTTATACAAAAAAGAATAGAATGCATGAAATTAGAAATTTTGGGACTTAAGTGAAATTCTTTGAAAAGTTTAAGACTAAATTGTAATAAGAAAAGTTAAAATTTGGGACCAACTAAATGAATATGAACTTTAATGATCAAAGTGCATAAAAACTAAAAGGTGAGGGACCAATAATGTCATTTACCATTAAAATTCGAAGGATATATTTACGGTGTTACAACTTATAAAGTTAGTAAATGGAGGGATGATTCTCGGCGCTTTCTCCAAAATTTAAAGATGCTAGCTTGTTCTAGCGGGGTGTTTGTGTATATTAAAGAAAGCCCAATCTACCTGGCCTTGGGTCACACACTTTAGAGCTTAAAATTTATCTCCTTTTTCACTGACCCGTCAAAAGCCGAAGTGGATGCAATTAACCATTTCCAATTTTCTTTTTCAGCTCAACACTTTTCCTACATCATCAACAAAGCCAATTTTGTTGTTGCTGAAAAACCTTCAAGATCCTGCTTCGATCTTATTCTTCTCCAAGTGGTCCTGTAAAATCCCGAGGGTGATCCTCGGGGAGAAACTCCGATACTTAAGTCAGTATTTTTCTAATAATGTTCTCCTCTTTGTTCCGTCTATTTATCGTACCTTACTTTGTGGGCTTTATCCATCTTGGCAAGGTACCCACGTGGCTCATCCGCACCCATGTGGCTTGGTCAACCCAATAATGGTGACATGTTGTGCCGGACGGAGTAGGCATTTTAGGTGAATGTAACATGTCTTAACGAAGCAATCGCATTAAATGCGAATGTAACGTGCCTTAACGGAGTAACTGCATTAAATGCGAATGTAACGTGCCTTAACAGAGCAACCGCATTAAATGCGCATGTAACGTTCTGACGAAGCATGTCTCTTGAGAAAGGATACTCAGGTAAGGACAAATGATCAAATGGGGGCGTGCCTATTGTGGCTGCCATGTACTTACGGCGAATAGTTGAGGTGTGGTAAGCTCTGAGTTTTGTGACTGAGGTGCGATAAGCTCTGATCTCTGTAACCGAGGTGCGGTAGACTCTGAGTTCTGTGACTGAGGTGCGGTAAGCTTTAATCTCTGAACTTTGCCTTGCGCCTCGCGTATAACTACTTTTACAAATTTGTTTCCTTTAATCAAAAATAAAATAGAGGTAAGAAATAGGATAAAAAAACAGTCTTGAGAAAATAAGCAAAATTATATATATATATATATATATATATATATATAAAGGACTAAAGAGCTAAAGCCTTAAACTTTCTCACCACATGCACATTCTCAAGAAAGGGGGAACTAAGTGCAAATAATAAACCCAATTCTACCATTTTTGGTGTCAACTACTCAGTACTTAACTACTATGATGTCAAACTATTATTACCATTCTACAGAAGTAGTTCTTCTGATTCCACCAACCTGAATTTTTCATATAAACTCAATAGTCGTAATTCTTTTAGTATACAAAATAAAGGATTTTGGAATTAGGTTTCACCTAAAACTAAAGCCCCATTTGTCTAAGAAAATTGAAGAATTTCCATCATGGATTAGAATCTCATAAACACAAAGTATGGAATTAAATAAAAGTCAGAGAAATAGAAGAACTAAAAAATCAGGAAAACTAACAAATACAAAGTACACAAAGTATCCAAGGCAAACGTCATTTAGTATGCAAAATAAAGGATTTTGGAATTAGGTTTTACTTAGAAAAGAAAAGGCATAACTAACAAACACAAAGTAAAATAAACAATTAAAACAAAAATAGACGAAAAATCAACTGGTAAATGATTGATCTTAAGGTTAGATATGCTAACTAATTCAGGATAGAAACTCCAAAATATTCCACTGAAAATGATGTATGAATAATGAAATGATAAAGAATCAGGATGATTAAATGAATTTGATCGCTGAAACATAAGTCAGCCCATTACCAGTAAAAAGACAAATAATCAAAGTTATGGGGCATAAGGCCTTAATATCTTTTAGAAATTTTTACCATGTTGGCCTCCTACAATCAATGATAGTTTTCATTGCACTTAAACTTTTCTATCATCACAAAATATCTGAGGGTGCCTTTCTAATCAAAAACATTATTAACCAAAAAAAAAAAAGAGATCTTCACAAAAGTCTACAGCATCAAGTACAAAACCTTAAACCTAAAGCCTAAAGAAGATGAAAGGAATCAGATAGATAAATAAAACAATAATCCAGGATAATCTAATCTTCTTACTTTAATAGGATTCACTTACTAGCTAGCTCCCATTTCCGGATGCGAATCGGCATGCAGGATTGTCATTGGTACAAGAAAATAATATATGTTAGTAGCAGTGTTACGACAAGAATTAGTAGGTATTAGCCTCTATTAAAAAAAATTAAGTAAAAAATATTTTAAAATTATAATTTTTAATAAAATATTAAAATAATTAAAATAACATTATTTTTATTTTAAAAATTAAGATATTCTAATTTTTTTTATAAAATTTTATTAAAATGAAGGTTCCATTTAATTTTTAATAATATAGGCTGATATTTATTTTTCAATTAAGATATAACAATGAAAATACATACTGTATCAATATTAAACATTCTTTTTAATTGGGTGAGGTGTCATTACAACTTTTATAATTTTTTTTTCATAATTAATTATAATATTTAAAAATATTTATTTATAAATTAATTTTAATCTCTTGAATAATAAAAATTAATTATTTTATTAATTATTAATTATTTTTAATAATTAAATTAAGAGAAAAATTTCACACTTTAGGATAGTACTAGCATTGGCGATGCCAGCCGCTTTAATGGAGGAACTGTACCCAGTTTGGTCATCATAGTATTTTGACCACAGCATCACGCCTCCATACTTTGAATCTCCTTTAATGGCGGGCAGCACTTGAGACGTGAGATCGTTTACCGGGATGAACCCACTTCCGGCAGCCTCAGGGGATGCCGGAAGTCCCAAGAAAATTTGAGTTGCCTGAATATCCTGAGTCCATTGATTCCAGGCATTCACTAAATTTGTAGTGTTTCCGGATGTGTATTGGCATGGGGGGTTGTTGAAGAATTGGACCCAGACGTAGTCAAAAAGACCGGTTTTCAGGGCATCCCCTAGCCAGGTGTCAGGGAAAGGGCACTGAGGAGCTGCCGTTAAGTAAACTTTCTGCCCCTGATTACTGTATTGGGAAAGGTACATTGCCAGATCATCCCAGTGCAGGTTCGTCCCTAGCTCGATGTCGAAGTCAATGCCGTCGAGAACAGCATCTCCGAGCGGGCGATTACTTGATTGTCCTCCGAGGAAGTTATTCCACAGATAAGCAGCTACCTGCTTGGCGTCGTCTGCTGAAGAGAGGCTGTAGTTCCCGGCGCCTCCACCAATGGAAAGAATGACTTTGATTCCGTTTGCTTGACACGATTGGATATCGGAGCTCAACCCGGAGCAACCGTTGCCGGAGGGGTCGCAGTGGCCAGCGAGGTTAATCATGGGTGTCTGCCCATTGCCAAATGTTACAAGAAAAGCTATGTTGACGAAATTATAGTTGCCGGTGGCGCAAGTGGCTGCTAATGTACCTTCGTTCCCGTTCTGTCCCCAGTAGATAGCAATCCCTCCGGCATCAGCTCCGGAAAAGAAAAAAGGGGCAATTAAGCAAGAGAAAGCTAACACTGCTGCTGATTTTACTGCCATCATCCTAAATCCTGGAAGCTATTGGTCTTGGTGATTTTGTTTACAGGGTCACATGGAAACAGGGGTTTTATAGGGGAGAAAGTTGGGTGAGGCTTGGTTTCTTTTTTTTTTTGGATAAAAAGAGGAAATATATTAAGAGGATAACAGTCAACACATGCGGGGAAATTCAATCCCATTGTGAGAAGCAGATGGGGACAAAGTTCCACAACTAGGCTGTTAGACCAGCCAATTTTTCTGGCATAACCAAGTTTCCAGTTACCATAGCAGTCACGGTTGGTTATTTTCCACAAAAACGCGCATACCCTTGGTCCAATGAGAACGAAGCGTGGCTTCTACGGTGGCTTGTTTGAAGGAGATTTGTACAAATATGGAACTTTTTGAAAATTTTTTAATTAATAATATGACTTTCTTTTCTTAATAATTAATAATATTATTTTTTTGAAAATTTTTAATTAAAAAAATATATTTTTATATTAATTTTTAATATTTAAAAATTATATTTTAATTAATTTAGAGTTGAACTATATTGAATTATATCTAATATTTATTTTTTTATTTATAAATTTTGAACTCAAAATTTTACTTAAAAAAAATTTTATATTTTTTTTATTCATGTTGGTCTGATTTTTTTTTATTTTACTAATTAAAGTTATTACTTTTTAAAATTTTTAATTAAGATATACATCTAATTAATTCTTTTTAGTAAAATCATAAGCATCATATTCTTAATTAAAATTTTTTTAAAAGTCATAGAAAAAAAAAATTAAGGTCATATCCTCAAATAAAATTATTTTGAAAAGTTGTGTCTGAAATCTCATTGTTCGAAAACAAAACGAGTTTTCATGTCTGTAAATATCTTATGCATTTCTTATCCAAAAAATAATAAATCTGATATGTTTGGATAGCAGCAAGCGAGTCAGATTCTACTAGGCTGTTTGACCAACCAACTTTTCTGACATAACCAAGTTTCCAGTTACCATAGCAGTCTCGGTTGGTTTCTTTTTATTTTTGGCCAAAGGGTCTATTTGCACCCTCCACTTAATTGTTTTTCACGGTCAACACCTTCCAAAATTTTTCCTCCTTATTTACACCCTCAATTTTTCAAAACCCGTGAAAAACCCAACATTTTAACGTGCCGTCACAGTTCCGTTACAAAATGCACTACGTGGCACCATATGCCGTTAATAATCCAACGTGGATCTCTTTTTTAATGATGTGGCTTATTTTATATACGTGGAC